ACGCAGATGATCTTTAGAAAGTTTTAATAAATCCCTTTATTGGATGGATTATAATTTTTGAAAAATTTCTGCTTGTCTAATAAAAGTTTTTATTTTAATGAAGTATGCTTAAGATAGCCTTAAATTAATTTGCTTTTTCATACAAATTTATATGTAAGTACATATGCACTTATTTATTTATGTACGCATGTAGTTATGTTGATAGAGAACTCACTTTTTTATCTAAATCAAATAATCTTTCTTTGCATATGATTCAGCTCTTTAATAAACTAACTACTTAATATTTTACTTTGATAAGATTATATGTAAATATTTCCCAATATAAAAGTATAAATACGAAATTTGGCAACAAAAAAATAATAATAAAGATAAAGAAATGCTCTTTTATCTGACTGTATCAGACATGTCTATCCTAATGAAGTGAAGTGTTATTGAGAGTTGGATCTGATATAACAAAGGTGCCGGTGTGAGAGTTAAAATCTTGGCATAAGCAACGGAGTGACATGCTTTCAAAAATAAGGCACACAAGTGTCTTGATACCTACACGTGAGGGAACGTTAATAGAAAATGAGCCAGCCAGTATTTTAACCAGAAAGGTAAATAAGTTTTAAATGACTCGTATAAAGCGGAAGATTAATTATATTTAGAATCCCAAAGGAAATTTCTTAAAACGGATAGTCAGAATTGTTTTTGAATTCACCATCTTGTCTAAGTAAATTTGATACCACCGAACGGTATTCCAGAATCAGTCTAACTTGGGTTGTAAACAGGGTTCTAGTGCGATAAGGGTCACTAAATTCGTTTCTCAAATTCAACTAAACCATTGGCCTTGTTGACTGCCATGTTAATGCTCAGATTAAAATTAATTTTAGGATCCAATATGATGCCAAAGTATACAAAATTGTATACCTGTTACAGATTATTGTTATCTATTGTATGAATGAGAACTGGCGAGAGGCACATTATTCCTATCCTGTTCTAGAAAAAACAACATAAAGGTCCGCATTGTGCGACCAAAAATTAAGTTTACGTGTCTCAGGGTTTTTTTTTGTGTAATTTTCGAATTGAGATAAGTTGTTAATTTTGCCTTTATTATACTAAAGCACATTTGAAACCCATCTCGTAATATTTTATTTAATTCAAAATGTTTAGACATAACTGTTAAATTGATGAGAAAACTATTGAAAAATATTTCAAGGTCAAAGAATTCCTAAATACCTTTCGTCTGATACCCAAAATTGTAATATTTCATTTATCATATCAATTTAATTGAATTAAATTTTTCAAACCGGTATAAAAAACTATGGAGGATGGTTCCGTGTGCAAAAGTCGACGTAGGTGATTCCTGTGCGAACGGTTCAAATCGCATCTCACGACGTCTGGATATCCACGTATCTTCTGGGCAGCGGTAAAAAACCCGTTCGGGAGCGAGCTAAAGTGGGAAGGCGTAAAAGTTCGCGTGCGCTGGGTTTCGGCCGTGCCACGTTAATATCACGCCCAAAGAAAAATTCAAACATGCCTCGGATGAGAACTCCTTACTTTGACGACGACCATGGCCAGCGTATAGCGGACTATGATTTGAGGATATGCACCTGGAATATCCGGACACTTAATGGGGAAGGCGCTCTGCCCGACTGGTTGATGTCCTCGGCAAGACTAAAGCCAAGAAATGCGATGGGCGGGGCAAGGCAATGTAAGCGTGGAGACTTGCGACTTCTACTACAGTTGCCACGTAAAGGAGCGCAACTCCGGTGTTGGATTTGGGGTGGGAGAGAGACTTCGTCGCCGAGTAGTGGCGTTCACCCCGGTGGCCGAACGTCTAGCCACAATCTGCAGCAAGACTCTTCAACATCTCGCTCATCTGTGCCCATACTCCGACGATTTTCCATACAAAATTAAGTAAGTCTACGACGTTTACATCGTTAAGAAGCATTTAGATGAGTTGCCCTACTATGTTTTTATAAAAAGTAATTAAAATCAAATAATAACAAAACAAAACGTCAAAACTTGTCGACTCAGAAACCCCCCAGATACCCAGCTTCATAGAAATCTATTAGTTCTTTAAAATTTTCAGCTGCCATATTGGATCCGCCATTTTAAACTTTTGGTAACTGACTTCAGATTCATAATCAGGGACACAAAAATCTCCTAGATAAGAAGTGGTGTAAAAATCCATCAAATTTTATTTGTTTATATAGTTTCGTCCAGGTAGATTTGTGAACCGAACCACTGTGCAGTGTTACCAGTAACTGGATTAATAAAATCCCATCCAAATTAAACTCAAATCCCGTTTCATATTAAAGTTATAACAGAAATCCCACGCTGTATGTATCTAATATTAATATTAACAGATCGGCGCTTACACATTTGCTAGTGTTTGGCCGAGCCCCTCCTCCGTTTTGTGGCGTGCGCCTGGATGTTGTCATACAAAGAGGAGGGACCTACAGTTTTACGCCGACTTGCATCTGTTTTTTTTTTCGTTTTGATCTCAGTAAGCACGGAACAAATTCGTTGGCAGTAAGACCCCTTTCAGACACGTCAAGTCTTGCTTTCAGGTCAGCTCGATTCGTAGGCGAAGGAGGTGAGAAGAGAGGGGAAAAGTACGTTCGTCTCACCTCGTTCGCCTACGAACGAGCAGACTTGAAATCTAGACTTGACGCCTCTGAAAGGGGTTTTAGCATTATAATAATGGAAAGATATTACAAAAGAATTATATAATTCTCGGAAATTTCGATACAATAAACCTCCCTTTACTCCCCTTTTGTTAACGACTACCTCACAAAGGTTTGCACATCGCTTACTTTCTTTGATAATAGAAGCACTCAAAATACAAAAAACGAATCGTTGATTCGAAATTTTTCTAATATTTTCAAAATACACAACATCACGATTTCCCCACACGTTTTACTAATTTCTAGCACTATAATTTTTTTCAAATCATTTTCTGTATAACTCAAAAATTTGCTATTAAAATTCATTTTAAGTGAATAAAGTTCCGCTGATAGGATTGACAGCATGAACGGCGTTAATTTACCGCAGAGTATGGCAGCTGTTTCTTATCTATTAATTACTTACTAAATTTTATTGCTTGGTATGGTATGCAAAAAATCCCGTTTTTCGTCAGAAAATCCCATTCGGCCTTTTTAGGCATAAAATCCTAAAAAAATCAATGCTTGAGCAGTGAACCCATATGAAAGAGAGAGTCGTTATAAAATTGGATGCAGTCTTGACCGCTAGTTGCTGAAGGCCGTTTATTTAAATACAGTATTGCTATAGTTTGAACATTACATAATTAAAGTGGGTTTACACTAATGCAATAGGACGTTGAAACTTTAAAACTAGGTTTGTAATTATGTTACCATCAATTACTTAGTAGATAAAAGTCGAAAAGTCATCGAGTGAGAGCCGATTCGATTCGACTTCAAGCGGCAGAACTCGATTTCAAAACGTCTATTTTTTTTTACCAAAACACCCATGGGTGGATAACGAAAGCAATGGAACTACCAAGAACAGAAGGACCTGCCTGCACTCAGGGTGGACAACTGGCGCAAGTAAGCGAAGGAGAGTGGAAATTGGCGAAGTTTTTTGATCTCGTATTAAAGAAGTAAGAAAAATAAGTATGTGTATTAAAAATGCGAATCGGAAGTACGACTACAAATATAAAGAAACGTCATTCGAGACCATACTGAAAGAGGCTGCAAAAAAAATTCCTTCGAACTCGGCAGTTTTTTGCGTACATATACATATCTATACATAAGTGCACATACGCGCATACTTATGTACATATGTACATGAAACTCACATACATTTTTTGACACTTTACCTACCCCTTTTTAAGGGAAAGTATCTTAAGCCCATATTTTCGCAAAATCCAACCTGCAACCAGCTGCAGCTATCCAAAAGTATTAAATATTGATATATACATATCGATGGACCTCTGTAATAACGACACAACTCAAAACTAAAATAAACCCTTACTACAGCGCATTGGCACATGTCTCTAATCCTTGTCTAACCCTTACAAAATCTTTATGTATGCTTTACAAATATTTGAGGAAGGAATAGGCATTGATTAGGCAAGGGTTAGGACATGTGCCGCTGTGAAGTACCTACACTCAAAAAAAAAATTCTCTTAATTACACTAAAGAAGCTTTATCCTCTTTTCATGCTCAACATTTCTTCAAAATGATAGATTAGGCTGCATTCCAAACGTCAAAATACAAAGCATCAGTCTCTTTTATTTCTAAACCTCAGTAGATTGTAATTCCAAATGTGCGCAACCAAGGTTAGATGCTAGTTTAAAACTAGGTTGCGCAAGTTAGACTTTTTCTTCTAGTGCAGTTTAGAAATAAAACAGGCTGATGCTTTGTATTTTGAGGTTTTGGAATGCACCCTTACATCTACGGTTCCATATTTTCGTGAACGTTTTTACACATTCCTAAGAAAAATTACCCATTCGGGAGAATTTTTTACTCATTCGGAAGAATTTTCGACCTTAAAGTAAGTTAAAGTTTTTCTTTGATCCAGAGATGAATTTTTGGTTCAGTGTAGTAATTTTTTTTTTTTGTTAATTTTAAGTTGTGACGTTATTGCATAAGAAAATCAATATGTAGGTATTTATGTAAGCACAAAACATTTTAAAGTTTTCTGCACAGTTCACAACTGGTGGAAATGCGCGCATGAAGAGTTTATTTTTTAAGTTTTGTTCATTCTAGTCTCACTTTATTTTTTAAATATTTTTTTTTACTCTTTTTAAGATAAAATTCAATTAACACCACTTTAAAATATCCTTTTTGAATGTCCTTATTTTTTAATATTTTCTATTTTGTAATTGCCTTAATTTTTAAGGAATTTTTCACTTTATTCATAACTGGAATTCAGTACACCTTAAAATTCTATTAAGTTACTTATTCACATTTCACACTTTTGAAACAAATCTTTTTGCACAATTTTCCTTTATTTTATAGTCTGCGTTATATGCATAATTTCTTTTATTTTACCTGTTTCACAAGTCAACACAACTGCCGTATTCAGTTAGTTAAACAAAAACAAAAAAATTTATCTAACAGGTTGCACTAAATATTAGCATACCAGACATGTTCTGCTGCACACGTAGCCAATCAAATTAAGTTAATTATTTTCAGAACAAAAAAATTAGTATTTCTTTATTAAAAGTACGTGTTTTAGCGAAGTTTTCGAATAAAATAGTACGTAAAACGCTTTGTATAACACGTTTGAAGGGCAAGATTTGCTCCTTGGCTTAAAAACCACTTTTAAATCATTTACTTCTCTTAGCGCAACATTATTTTTCAATCACTGCGTTTTAATTACTGCACTTATATTAGACTGTAATTAAACTTAATAAACTAACCGGTTTTAAATAACTTCTTTTTATTTGTTTTTGCAATTTAGAATGCTGCTCGCGCCTTTAAGTATCAGCGGGAACTGAACCGCGCCAGTGTCGGGGTCACTCATATATATACAATCTATGCAGCTACCAGTGTTGCCGTTTTCACCCTTTGGTGGCTAGATTTAGCTACCACTACTTTTTTGGCCACATAAATTTAAAATTGCCCCTATCCCTTTTTTTAGCCCTTTTGCATATGCTTAATTTGATCGAATATTTTTTTTTTTTAAGTAAGAGATGAATTTTTAAACTAAGACTGATATATATACATATTAGACTGCATCACTCCCCATACAGAAAAAAATCGGTACTATTTTTCCATTGGAATTATAAAATCTACTATATTTTAAGACGTCCATCAAAATATTTCGGAAAAATTTTAAGATTTAAGTGAGCTGGACCAATTTCAAAATACCTCCAAAAATGGAGTTTTTTATGAATAAAAATAGTTTCTTAAAATTTTTTGTTGAAAAAATCCCCTCAAACGACAAAACGGTTTAAGCTTAAAAAATTTGCATAAAAATATTTAAAAAAAATTAAAAAAAATTTTAACGGAATCGTAATGATGAGATTTTTGATGCTGTTTTTTAACTTTTTTCAAAGATTGGTATAAGAAAAACTTGAATAACTAAGACTAAACTCTTCTGATGTAGACTTAAAAGGTGTCGGTGGAAAGGTATTCTCTCACACTTTTTATTTCTTTGCTAATAAACTCATTCAAAGGATGGAAGAGAAAGGTAGGATGAACGAACGTCATTCAAAGTTGAATTAAGTTGTGTTGGTATTCGAAAAAACAAGATGGGACACGAATGTCGTTTTTTTGGCCAGAAATAAAAACAGTGTGAAAATACCTTTCTACTGAGATCACATAAGTTATTCAAGTCTTTCGTAAATCAATCTTTGAAAAAAGTAAAAAAACAGCATCAAAAATCTCATTCTTACTATTCCGTTGAAAAGATTTTTAAATATTTGTATGCAGCTTATTCTAATTTGTCATCTGAGGGGACTTTTTTCAAAAAGTTCTTTAAGAAACTATTTTTATTCATAAAAAAACTTCATTTTTGGAGGTATTTTCAAATCGGTCCAGCTCACTTAAATCTTAATATTTTAAACAAATATTTTGGTGGACGTCTTAAAATATAATAAATTTAGTAGTCCCGGCGGAAAAAACGCAACTTTTTTTGGTGATGCAGTCTAATACATATATGTATTGTATGTTCCTTACGTTTTTATACATACAAACTGTAAAAGTGTTAGGGCTGTTAGCTTATCTATTTAACTATAGTTTAAATGGCCCATCAAGTCGATTGACCGTGTGCGACTTCAAAAACTATTTGAAAATTTTATGATTGTACCAGCATACTAGTGTCGTGAGTGGTGAAATAAGCTCAATTTTCTAAGTAAAAAGTATTTTGGCGGAAATTTCTTGCACTATATGAGTCAAAGCCGTGATTTTGGAAGATTAAGTTCACGATATTGCAGTTGAGAATTTAAAAAAAAAAACAATGTCTAACAAAATGGTAGACAAATTATGGTAGAAATTATTTCTTCGACCTCATTTGTAAAGAAATAAATATTGTACCAGCATGCTGGTAAGTTATATACTTCGAGCCTGATAGTAATCACTTGATGAGCCAGCAAGCTGGTGTCATATATTTCCCCTTTTATACAAAAAGGTTTTAGGTTCGATAAAATGTTAGCCTTTTTCCAGAGTTCATTGTTTTTCTATACCATTGTTTATTGACAGTGTTTGCGTGTATACTTTTATATGTAGCCAGCAAACACAGTCTCTAACGTTAGAGAAAATTGGATTCCTACATTAGATAGCTAGGGTAATTCTCTAACCGTTCCAAAGTCGATGACGAAGTTAGAGAACTACATTAGAATTCGATTCGAGAACGATTAGAGAAACAACGCAAATTCAAATAAATGTAAATAAGCAATATTCGAAATGAATGAATCATAAATAATGTTTAAGTTCAAATAATTAATTATTATTTTATTGCAAATGCATTCAACACAAATTTTACAAACAAAGCGTGTTATTTATTAAAGCAAAAGAGCAGTTTGAAATTCACATTCGAATCCCATTAGAGATCAGCATTAGAATTCGATTAGAGAATTAATATTTTCTCGAGTCGAGAACTATGTCCCATTTTTGTTAAGATCGCTATGATTCTCGATAGTTTTTCCGAGTCCTTCTCTAACGTTTGAGATTGGAGAATGTGGCTTGTTCTCCAATCATTCTCTAATCGATAACTAACCTCAATATTTGCTGGGTATATGTAAGTACAAAATTTTAGCTACCATTTTTAGCCACAACGACTTTTTTAGCTCTTTTTCAGCCCTTTCTTAAAGGAATTTGGCTACCACTAAAAAGATTTGCGGCAACACTGGCAGCAACTAGCTACTGGCGGCGGCGCGTGAAAAATGACTCAAACGTGACTGCGACACCGGTTAAAATAACTCGAAACAAACTCAATTCCAAGTACATATGTATTTAGTCAAAATGCTCAATATGCGTTGATAAATATATATGTAAATGGTTCGCTGATTACTGCAAGCCTGATAACACGGGTGGGCGGAAAGGGGCATCGTGATATGCCTGAAGCAGGGATGAAAAATTGAAATTTCAGATTGTACCTAATATCATAAAATACAGTATTGGGCATATCTATAGCACCCCCCTTTCAAAGCGATATTGTTTGCCACTTATGTTTAATTATTTGTTTTTAAGAATTTTGAATAAAAAAAAAGTGCAACAAACTTTTCCTTAAATTTCAAACTTTTTTCTCAGAAGCTCTACACAGTTTTATAGCGCATTCAATTTTGTCATTTGCTTCCATATAACGACTAAACACAATTTATTTTTATATGGCAGAAACCCGCAACATCCTCGGCGAAAAAAATTCTAAAAAATCAACGGTAATTTTTAGCCACTTGAAACTTGCACATTATTAGACTAAAAAGACTAAAATTGAATGGGCTATAAAACTGTGTATTCAAAACAATTCTACCGCTTCTGAGAAAAAAGTTTGAAATTTTGGTGAAAATTTTTTGCACTTTTTTCGGTCTTTTAAAAAGATTTAAAGTTGAGTTTATGTGAGTTTTGTGAGAGAATGAACTGTATTTTAATTGAAAATTCTTAAAAATAAATAAATAAACATGAGTGGCAAACAATATCACTTTGAAATGGGGGTGCTATTGTATTGGCCAATACTGTAAATGTACCTAAATGAGACAGATTGTACCTAAAAAAAGTTACATCATTCATTTGTAGTTTTTTTTATAAATTTTATTTAAAACATGAATACAAAGGATGGATGTACTTTAAACATGATTCGGTTTTTTTTTTTTTAACTGAGCCTATATCCATAGATTATAGTCTAATGGGAATCGGAGAAGCGTTGTTTTTGTCTAATTTTGACTACTGAGAAATATTGGCGAAAAAGACAAAAAACATACTTTGCGAAGTAAACTTCTTTATCCAGCGACAACACGAAAAGTCTGCTAATTTATAATAATAATAATAGATTGGCGCTTACACATATGTTAGTGTTTGGCCGAGCTTTTCCTCCGATTTGTGGCGTGCGCCTTGATGTTGTCACACAAAGCGGAGAGACCTACAGCTTCACGCCGACTCCGAACGGCGATTGTATTTTTATGAGAAGCTGTTTTTCATGGCAGAAATACACTCGGAGGTTTGCCATTGCCTGCCGAGGAACGACCGCTGTTAATAAAAAACCTTTTTTCTATATTTTTGCGATGTTGCTTTGACCAGGGTTTGAACCCTGGTGCTGCGGAGTGGAAGCGCGCACTGCTTACCACTACACCACAACGGCCGACATGGTAATTTATCCGATTCCTTTTAATAGGTGCAACATGTCTAGAGAAAATAATCAAATTGCCGTAAGTAACTTCGAAAGCACTTTAAATATATTTCCAGAAATCAAAAAGCGAATATGGGTCAATAATAGTAATTGTACCTAAAATCTACTGACTGTACCTAATGTACCTTTAAGTCATTAAACGTCGGAAAAAGGTACAATTGTACCTACTTTTTCATCCCTGGCCTGAAGTACGTAATTGCATGTGCGTGTTTAGTGGCGAAGAGCCAAAAAACCAACTACCCCAACATTTTCTGCAGCGTTTATTTTTTGTTTTTGTGCTTAAACCTTTGTGTGCAAGCATATTTTTTAAATCTTAACTTTAGTGTTATGTATGGCTGTGCATTAGAGCGTAATACTTTAATTTTGAAAAAAGTGTGTGGCATAATAGAATTCTACGTTCGATTCTAAGCAAAAATTGTGAACAAACTACATTCCAAAAATTATATTTGACCTTCCCAATTTTTAAAAGAAAAATCCGTATATTATAATTTTTCCCGAATGATATTAATTTTTCATTAAAAAATTCGTATTTTCTTTCTAAATAAAATATACTTCTTTTTATTTTAAAAATTTGGAGGATTAAACCTCATTTTTAGTATAAAGTTTGTTCGCCATTTTTGCTAAGAATTAGTCGTAGAATTTGGATTTGCTATACACTTTCTTCGAACGTTTTGCTCCGAACAATTTACTCCGCCCTAATGTGCATATATACGTACAAACATTACATATGTACATACACAGAAGGCAGGTATTTGTAATTTCTTGTAGAGGTATTATTTTCACGCAAATGAGGGGAAACGGGGCTATATGAATGCGCCAAGAATTTCACGCGTTTTGCACGATCTCAGAATGTGGGATGCTCGAACACAGATTAAAACAATAGAAAATTTAAATTGACAAAATTTTAAATTAAGATAAAGATTAAGACTAATATTAAAGTTAAGATTAAGATCGAGAATAGGATTAATATTAAGGTTATGATTACGAATATGATTAATATTAAGATTAAGGTTGAGATCAAAGTGAAGATTAAGACTAATATGAAGATTAAGATTTAGATTAAGATTAAGATTAAGATCAATATTACGATTAAGATCGAGATCGAGATTGAGATTAGAACTATAATTAAGATTAATTTTTCATAAATGAGATTGAGATAAAAGTTAAGATTAAGATTTAGATTTAAGATTAAGATAACTGTTCATTAGTAGGCAGAAAAATACTCATGTAT